GGTGTGGCAATTCAAATAATGCTAATTGACTGTCGATTGACCAGGGTTATGGAGACGTGGCTATTCAAATCATGCAAACTGACTGTCGACTGAGCAGGTTTATAGAGGTGTGGCTATTCAAATCATGCTAACTGATTGTCGACTGAGTAGGTTTATGGAGGTGTGGCTATTCAAATCATGCTAACTGACTGTCGACTGAGCAGGTTTATGGAGGTGTGGCTATTCAAATCTTCCTAACTGACTGTCGACTGAGCAAGTTTATGGAGGTGTGGCTATTCAAATCATGCTAACTGACTGTCGACTGAGCAGGTTTATGGAGGTGTGGCTATTCAAATCTTCCTAACTGACTGTCGACTAAGCAGGTTTATGGAGGTGTGGCTATTCAAATCATGCTAACTGACTGTCGACTGAGCAGGTTTATGGAGGTGTGTCAATTCAAATAATGCTAATTGACTGTCGAATGACCAGGGTTATGGAGGTGTGGCTATTCAAATCATGCTAACTGATTGTCGACTGAGTAGGTTTATGGAGGTGTGGCTATTCAAATCATGCTAACTGACTGTCGACTGAGCAGGTTTATGGAGGTGTGGCTATTCAAATCTTCCTAACTGACTGTCGAATGAGCAGGTTTATGGAGGTGTGGCTATTCAAATCATGCTGACTGACTGTCGACTGAGCAGGTTTATAAAGGTGTGGCTATTTAAATCATGCTACCTGACTGTCGACTGAGCAGGTTTGTGTAGGTGTGGCTATTCAAATCATGCTACCTGACTGTCGACTGAGCAGGTTTATGGAGGTGTGGCTATTCAAATCATGCTACCTGACTGTCGACTGAGCAGGTTTGTGTAGGTGTGGCTATTCAAATCATGCTACCTGACTGTCGACTGAGCAGGTTTATGGAGGTGTGGCTATTCAAATCATGCTACCTGACTGTCGACTGAGTGGCTTATGGGGGTGTGGCAATTCAAATCATGCTAACTGACTGTCGATTGAAGTGCCAAAACTGCCTATAAAAACGGTAGCCAACGATAGTTTATTTACACAACAGTGATTGGCAAGAATACATTCACATGGGACTTTTTCTTTTCTTCACTGCACTTGAATCTGATTAGATTTTCAGGGACATCTTGACGCAATATAAATTTGACATACAATCAGTACTATGGATTCATAATTGTAAATTGTCTGCAGGATTTAATCTCATAACAGTGAAACGTGCAATTTTTTTATTGCTTTTGTTCTGGATCCTCTATATAGTCAGAATAGGGGTCCAATAAACATAACAGGAATCTGAATTCTAATAAAACAATGGGATCACTTTGACTGAACGAACAGAAAACCTACCGATTCTTCGACTTGCTTTTCTTGCATATTGTTAAGAATAACTTGTAGGCTGTCACTGACGTGGTGTTCGAAAGAGCTGAGCTGCTGAGATCTCGGACGATGACTTCTTCGTCTTGGTGTATTATTTTCAGAGAAATCCGAAGTCTCAAATCTGGGACTATCCCTGTGGCTGTAGTTTGATGCATTTATATTATTTGCATCCTCAGTATAATGTTTTAATGGCACGCTCTCTTGCCTTACATGTTTATTCAAATTCGTCCTCGGCACCCAAATAGCCTTTCCTCCATGTGAGCGAACATCTCTTCTTTTCTCTACGGTTCTATGCTCATGATCTTTTCTGCGCCTGCGCAGAAGACTTGCAAGTTTCTCGACATCTGAATCGGTTCTCGAAGAATTAGAAATCAGAGTGTCGCTCTTTTTTGTCGGTTTTGGATGCATGCACAGAAATTTGGGAGCTATTTTGACAAACACTGTTCTCACCCACTTGGGAACTGGGCGCTTAGAAACAGGACCTCTTTGGATATTCAAAACAAAAGCGGTGAATATAACGGATAGCGCCACCAACGTCATATTGAAAAGCAAATAACGCGAGATCATAGGGATCTGCGATGACGTAGGAGGCATGATGTCAGTTACCAGTAAATTGAACACGTGGAAGGCGAGAAGAATAGATATACTTAAAGAGACTTTCTCGCCGCAGTCTGGCGGGAGATAAAACACAACAATAGTCAGCACCGACAGCATCATACATGGGACAACCAGATTTATGACGTAATACATTGGTTTCCGTGCTAACGTCATATTGAAGTAAGCGATTGGAAAGGCGGAGTCAATTTCCTGGTAAGTTTCCCTAACTTTCCCGGCTGTTGAGTTTATTATTGTCCATTCCCGATTAGAAATGTAATTTTCAATCATTATTTCCTCAAACATGAGCACAAGATCCACTTCGGATTCTACATAGGCCCACGTGCCGAACTTGATACTGCAGAATTGTCTGTCAAATGGAAAATGCTCCATGTTCATTGGGCAGGGTAGCTTGTAGATTCCCGGCGTTACAGCTAATATGTTTCCAGTACTAAATATCCGACATGTTATTGTTGGATCTGATACTTTTGGGTATTGCTGGCGCTGTAAGTCTGCACTGAAATGCAGAAAATGATTATTATGTTTACTCAATATATGCAGGAGATAAAACATAGAATGAAATAGAATAGAATAGAATAGAATAGAATAGAATAGAATAGAATAGAATAGAATAGAATAGAATAGAATAGAATACTGACTCATATTTTCATGACACAATGTTGGCGATACGAATGAATCATGAAATGAAAGTTCATAACATCTGTCATGAAGTTTATACTCCAAGACTGGCCACATTATTGAAGTTACCAACTTAGAATGTATCACATGGTTAAATATTCTTATTTTCTCCCTAGTTACTAGCCTGTTGCCATGGACATGTAATGTGACAGCTGATCCAGCTGAATACGTCGTACGTAGAGATACAGTCTGACATCTACTTGTATATAAACAAGTTAGTATATATAAATTTGTCGATGATTTCCATTAATAATATAGTACACTGCGTATTACTACGATAATCTGAGAGGCGTGATATATATTGTGTCTAATTCCGAGAATAATTTTCTCGGGTTCTTAAGACATCTTCTATAAATTTGTATAACGTAAGTATATTCATATT